AAAACAAGATGAAGATGAAGATGATGCTGAAGATAGGTAACATTTATCACAGGCTTGCTAGGCACCAGGCACTGCCATAGACATAGGTTATCTTATTCAGCCTCCACACAGCCTTAGGAGGGAGGGTCTTATCCTCAATTTTTAAATAAGTTAAGTGAGCCTTGGTGAGTTTAAATGACTTGTCCAAAGTCACTTAGCTGATCCATAGTGCAGCCAGAGTAGGAGCCCAGTCCTGTCCTTAGAGACTACTAAACTCGTAGCAAAATGGAAAAGTGTGTAGGTTTCAAGGTCAAGGTAAATGCAGCTTAGGGATAACTGAGACCTACCACAAACTTGAAAGGGGAGCCTTACAGGCAAGAGGTCAGTGCAGAACTGTGTGTCTCCAGGATCTGGAATCTCCTGAGGAAAGCATAACCACCCAGAAACAAAGACATAGGAACTTACTCTAGATGCGTATTGCAGGGATTTGGCTATTGGTAGCCAGGTGGTCTCAGGGGCCAGTGTCCCAGTTCAACCACTAAAGTTTTCCCTGGCAACCTGCAATCTACAGATGCCTTTGCCACTGGCGTTCGCTTCCTCTCCTATCCCCAGGCCTGTGCAAGGATCAGCCTTCCCAAGGCCGAGGAAGCAGGCCCCTCCACCACCCCCATCTCTTTCCAAGGTCCCTCTTACCTCCTCTGCAATTGCTTTTTAGCGAGGCCAAGGCCTGGCTGGGCCTGTCCTGTCCTTCAGAGCATATAGAGCTAGGAGTTTGCAGCATACTCTCTCCAGAGCCTGGAGCTGTAGCACCAGGTGGGAGCTGGTATGGATGCTGAGACAGGCCAGAGAAGCAAAGAGGAGACGGCATGGGACGTGGGTTCAAGTGGGCACCTGAAGGAGAAGCAGCCTGATTTTGGATGGGAGAAGCTCGAACATGCTTTTGCTCCAGCACTCAACCCTGGCTGCCTTTGCACCTGCTGTATCCACCCCTCTCTTCAGCTCCTTCCCTGACCCCTGTGCTCCTAACCTCCTTCCTTCCTAGGAGTTCTGGAAACTCCAGCCTGATGATGTATTTGGTTTGGGACTCTGCTGCAGCGTTTGACTTGTTCTTCCCAAATTGTATCCTGCGGGCATCTCCTGGCCTCACCTACTGCTCGCCCTGCCTCATAAAGTGCATAGCAGGGCCGGGGCCAGAGGCTTCAAGCAAGTGGTATGCACGGGGCGAGGTGGATGGACTCAGCTTTCGGGAGTCCCCAACTAATGGATTTCTCTGCGGGACATTGTGTGATGGCTTTTCACCCCCCCTCCTCAAGGGAGCCCTAAGAGATGAGGACCCCGGGAACCTCGGCTGTGAGCGGAGTTGGGCTGGAGCGCTGACTAGGGCAGAGTCACGCTAAGTAGGCTCCTATAGAGATAGCCCTCGCTGTCCCCGAGGCACAGCTTTCGGGAGTCCCCAACTAATGGATTTCTCTGCGGGACATTGTGTGATGGCTTTTCACCCCCCCTCCTCAAGGGAGCCCTAAGAGATGAGGACCCCGGGAACCTCGGCTGTGAGCGGAGTTGGGCTGGAGCGCTGACTAGGGCAGAGTCACGCTAAGTAGGCTCCTATAGAGATAGCCCTCGCTGTCCCCGAGGCACACGAGCTGCTAGGGGAGAGGTCGCTCGGGCCCCCGGTGCGATTCCTCCTGCGGTGCTGGCGCCCGAGGAGGGCGGGGGGTGGGGGTGGAGGGG